ACCTCAGGTGTCCTTCCCGTCAGGATGAGCCATGCATTCCCCCCGCCTCTGTGGGGCAGGAGGAGGGCGGCCCTTGGACACTTTCCGGCTGGCACGTTCGCAGTGCCAGGGACCTCCCTGAGCCATGAAAGGCTGGAAGACCCTTCTGGGTGTCGAAGTGGATGGATTGCGTTTGCCCTTGGATGCTGGCGCAGACATTTTTTCCAGGAGGCTGATGGATCTTATCTACTGGGCTGGGGGGGGCGATCTTCTGATGGTCCACGGATGTTTTGGGGGAAGAACCCTTCCAATCTGCTGAGCTCAGAAGTGGGTGGGCAGGGTGGCACGAGGAACTCCTTCACTCTGGCACGACCCTCAGCGCGGCCACTGAAAAGGAGGCCTGAGAGAGAGAGAGAGAGAGAGAGAGAGAGAGAGAGGAAGAGCGCGCACACGCGCGGGGGGAATTGGGTTATTTGGAAAAGTGCAAAGCTGCGCGAGGCAGGCGGGTTGAACCGGGTGGAGTCCTGAAGAGGCCAAGCCGCTTGCGTGGTGACTGCAGCTCGAAACAGGCTGAAAATAAAAGGAAAATTATCTGCAGATTCGGAGGAGGAGGTGGTAGGAGAGGCTCAGTGGTCTCCTAAGCAACTACGGGGGTTTGGCACCTGCTCTGGCTCTGCCAGCCCCTCCTGTGCAGGTCACTTCGCGAGAACGAGCTGCAGCACTTGCAGACCAGGAGGCTCGCTCTGCACTGCAAAGGGAGGCCCGGTGCGTCAAGGCAGGCAGCCAGCGAGGGTCAGGCAGAAACTAGGGCACGCTGGGCTGTCCCTGCACACGGCAACAGCAGGAAGATGGTTTTCTGAACGAGGCAATCAGGGATGCTAAGAGCTGGTCAGCACAGAGCGGCCACCCGCCCTGGTTCCTTGTGCAGATGTTCCCGGTTCCCCTTCAGGAAGCGCCCCTGAGTTCTTCTCCCGCGGTTCGTCTGCGGCGAATCTGGACGCTCCTAGCAAGGAAGCCTAACTTCAGACATAAAAGCGAATAAATTCTGGCCGACGCCACACGTGTTTGGCGGCAGTGACCGGCTCATCCGGACGTCCAGTTTCTCAGAAGAACTGATAGAGTCTGGGAGCATCGAGGCCTTGGAAAAGCAAGTGGGACCCCCAAGGGGAGACTGGAGTGATTTTGCTCCTCTGTTCTTTCTTCGCTCCTCTCCGTTTTTCGTTTTGTCCACGCTGAGCGATCCCGTGCTTCATAGGCCTGCCTGTTTTTCCCCCCCGCTTCTTAGGGACTTCTCCCCTCCAAAAATGGTTGTATACCTGCGAATGTTGGGACCCCGCCTTGCGCAACTGGAAGGCGCTGTTGTCACGTCCAGAAAATTCAGCACCCAGAGCGCTGGTTTGCTTTGCCGTTTGCAAGGCTCGGTCCCCGTGACCGGCACGGCTGCTTTTGGTCGGCCCCAAATCAGGCGGCCCAGCTTTGCTCGCGGCGTTGGTGGAAAGCCACTTGGAATAGTCCCCCACTCAATGGAAGGGATACACTTTTAGTGAGCAAACACAAGCTGGGGAGGAAAATGCAGGTGGCGTGGCTGCACATCGGGAGTTGCTATCCACAGCCCGGTCTCTGTAGCTGCTCTGGAACGCCACTCTTCATGCCGACCCCGAAGTTGGTTCTCCTCCCACTCCTTAATTTAGCAAACGCATCTCTCTCGCTCGCTTCTTGCTTTAATTTTATGATTTTCACACATGCTTAACCAGCAAAGCCGGTCACGGTGTTCCTCCGCCGCCGCGCACTGCACTGAAAGGGAGCCAGACCTTTTCAGCCTCCCTTCTCGGGGTTGCTCATTCCTAGCAGGGCAGCTCCCTGTGCCCCCAGCCGCCCTCACCCCCGCCCCAATGCAGGGGGTTTGTCACTCTGTTTCATCTCCTGCCAAGGATACTTAGAAGCTTTTCTCCGGCGCAGCTGGAGTCTGGCTGGCGCTGAGGATGGAGGCTGGGCTGATTTGCCTATTTAAAACTGATCGGCTTGCAAGTTGGGCATTTGGGGCTGGTAATTGGCCGCCCTAATGAGCTCATTAGCGCAGTCCCCCTCCCCCATGCAAAGGAAGGGTGGGCACACTGGAGCTCCCAGCCCCCCCCCCCGGGCGGGTGGCAAAAAATCTCCCGGGCAGCCTCTCTGCGGGGGGGGTTCTCCGCCTTGTG